CTCTGTTCACTGTTTGCCATGATGCCGACTCGCCGAAGAAGCTATGAGATGACTTGTGCGTCGGTTGACCTCGTAAGCTGCTAAATGATCTAGGAAGTCCTCTATCTAAGATCTGGGTTGTTTGTTGCTATAGAGGTCTGGAGAGTTGCATTGGTTTGAGTTAGGTTTGCTTGGGGACAAGCAAACGGTTAAGTGTGGGGGAGTTTGATAACGATGTAATTGCACATATTTGCGCCCCTAGTTCTTATCCGTTTGAGGGGCATAGACGTGTATTGTGGCCTATTTTACGCCGGGTTGTGCTATTTTGTCATGTTTCAGGTCCTAGGTGTCAAAGGGAAGGCTAAGCGCGAGTTTCGGGGCATTCGGAAGTCATTTCGGTGAGCTGGAGCCAAAACACGGGCACACCTAAGGCATTACACGGCCGTGTTCCTGTGGCCGTGCTTTTTATGCCGAGAGTTGAGCTGATTACACGGGCAGGGCCGAGACAAAGCACGGCCGTGTTCCACCAAAGCACGGCCGTGTTTATCCCAACTGCTGGCCGTGTAATTAACCCTGGCCGAGACACGGGCGGACTCAGGCAAAGCACGGCCGTGTCCTCGACCGTGCTTTGGCCACTGATGCCTTTTTAAGCAGATTTTCAGCCAAACAGAAGGGGGATTCGAGTTTTTGAGAGATAGAACGATTCCTAGAGAGAGAAAGTGACGAGCAACAGTTCCCAAGTGCCCTAGATTGATCTTCAACACCATTGGAGGCCTGTTTGAGCTTGGAGAAGTGCCGATCAACGTCCAGGAGCAGGAATCCATCCTTCATAGTATGAATTCCGCGTCTGATTCTGCTTTTGCTTTCTTCTCCATGGAGTAGTTCTCCCATTCATCTGGGTATGGAGAACCCTAGATTTGTATGTTAGGCTTTGATTGTATGAACCCAAGTGCTGATTCTATGATTGATTATATTCGATTGAGGTTTGAATGATTGAATGGCTTGAATCCTGATCAAATTCCTGTTGTTTCTGCTTTAACCTAGAATGAGAATATCTGCCTAGGTTAATAGAGTATCCTTGATTGAAGATAGGGAGTTGGTGACTTTAGTCGAGGAACCAACTCACTATTCTGTACCGGATTTATTCCGGTAGTGGAGGTTTTGTTCTTAGGGCCTCAATCTGTTTACTCCGGTGGAGGTTAGTCGCCCGCTAGAGATTCAGATTGAGAGGGTCTGAAGACCTTTAGTCGAGACTTCATGCTGTTTGAGAACCTTCCGCAGTATAACCATCATAGAAACTGAACTTGGTAATTACAATCCGGCTTAACTGCAGTCTAGGGGGAACCATATCCGGGTGACCTCTCTTACTTGAATACAACAGTTTACTTGCTTTGTTAGTTTGTTAGTTAGACTTGCATTCCAGTTTCATTGCTAGATAACAAGATTTCACTGAGTAGTCATCAGATCTAGGACCCGGGTTGACATATAAACCTAACCCGCTATACTACGCTTTAGGAAGTGGTTTCACTTGGCTAATTCCTGGAGTGACAGTAGAGTCGAGTCACTCTTATGGATTCTATGGAAAGAGAGGAATGTGCATATGTTCAACGGAACAAAGTTGGCAGAAGCTGATATTATTATGACTAACATTTTAGACAATTAGAATTATTCAAAATAAGATCTATGCTACAACTTATTTTGTGTGGACAAACTCACAAAAGTGAATATGTATATTCATAAGTTTTATTTTTAAGTCAAGGACGAAGACAAAATTTGACGTTTCAAGGAGGGTTTATTTTGTTACCCATTAATAAAAAAGATCATAACATCATTTTAAGCCATATAAAACTTAATTTTGAGAATAAAAAAGTTAAGAAACCATATTGAAATTACAGAATTGAGAAGATGAAACCTATGATTTGATCAATATAATAACAGGTTACCCAGCCAATAGGCTATTTAACTTTGGTCTTTCATTCATGCACACTGAACCATTTCATACCACTCCATCAGTTTATTAGAAATTTGCAAATATTGGTATAACTAATATCGTAACTTCTAAAATTCCCGGAGGGTGGGGCGACTTAGGATAGGGTCAGTAACCAATGGTTACTGACCTATGAGTAACTAAACCTGAACCTTTAGATCTAGGTGGGTCCAGAAAATTCAGATCTAAGGGTTGTCAATTAAAAGCATTTTATTTCCCCTACTTTTCTTAATCGGCTCTTATCTTCTTCGTTCTAACTCGGACTTCAATTTTTTTTGCACAGATGGAACTAGTTCGTTGTGCTCTACAAAATGAGATCAATTTTCAATATAGTTCGAGAAACTTTTTTTTTTTACTAATTACATACCATATGGTAACTTCTTCGTTTTAAGTCGTTTTTGAAAACGTTTGCTCAGAAGGAACGAGTTCATCATGATCTATTGGATCTATAAATTTCTAGGCGGAAAAAATACTGGATCAAAAATTACCATACTTTACCACTATGGTATGTGGGTGGTAACTTGTGGTAACTTGTAGTAAACAATTATGAAAGTCGTAAATGACAATTAATATACTCCTACTATCATGTATTCAACTTTCTTACCATATTGGTGTGTTCATATTATCATGATACGCTTTCTTACCACATGGTATTAAATAGGAGCATACCATATGGTAATGACTGGTATTTTTTTGTACTAAAAATTTATCAAAGGGGATATCATTTTAAAGAGCACATTTAATCTGATTTATCTGTTCAAAAAATTAAATTTCGACTTAAAACGAGAGAGTATTCGTCCGTTAAAAATTGAAGGGGAATAGTTCAAGACTTTCGAGGAGAGAGAGAGTACTGATATCATGCTGATGTGGATAGGTTATTCATGGTTACTGATCATAGGGCTACTGACCTGATCCGTTCCCGGTGGGGCCACCTATCCTATGTATAGCTCCGCTCCTGAATGGGAAGGTTATTGCATATGACCCTTATCTAAAAAAAAGGGTTATTGCATATGACAATGTACTTGGAACAGAAGTTGAAGCCTTCAAATTAAAAATATGCACAATTTATTTGTTATTAATGCTTCCTCACTTTCCTCACATATTTTGTTAAAACGGCATAACCAACATAAATTAATATATATAAAGGTGAAGTAGGTTTACTGTTGTCAAAATTATTATATTTTTTATACTCTAAATTTAAGTAAATCACAACTTAGTCACTATAATGTACATTTTACATTTTGATACCTCAAATTTAATTTAAATTTAAAATCATTGAATAATTATGTTTTAGACCAACGTCATTTTTCACTATGGGATTTAAAGATTAATATATATAAAGGTGAAGTAGGTTTACTGTTGCCTAAATTATTATATTTTTATACTCTAAATTTAAGTAAATTACAACTTAGTCACTATAATGTACATTTTATATTTTGATATCTCAAATTTAATTTTAATATAAAATCATTGAATAATTATGTTTTAGACCAACGTCATTTTTCACTATGGGATTTGAAGACGTGAAATTTTGAACGAGTTTCCTTATAAAAAAAAAGAAATTTTAAACGAGTTCCAGTTTGTATAACCTAAATTTATTTTTTTGGCATATAAGTCCTCAAAATATTGATGGAACATTATATTTTAGTACCTAAAATTTTAGTGTATTATATTTTAGTACCTGAACTTTTGAAGTTCTACGAATAGGTCTAATTTTTGTATGTGTAATTAAAACACCCTCGAATAAATGGGTATCCGTACCCAACACATACACATTTAGATTATGAATGAAAATATCCATACCGTATCCAAACCCATCTACAAACTTCCAAAGTCATATTTACGTCACTGATACCTTACCCATAATTAATAGGTCTACTTAAATTTAGATAAATATCATTTAATAACCAAAATTTTTAAATTGAATGTTGACCACCACCACCAAAGATAATAAAATCAACTTCAGGCAGCTCGGCCACCACCTATCTAGTATACATATTAAACAAGTTGGAATTATCTAGTATACATATTAAACAAGTTGTATTCCAATTGAACCATGCTATGCAACGTTTGAAACCAGTTAGAAAACCTTAACAAGTAACAAGCCTTGGTTATTGTTCACTTTCGGTTTTGTACACAACCGCGAGAAAGAAAAAATGAACTGCTTGGAAGCTCGGCCGACTGTTACACTAGTCCGCTGCCAAAACTAGGGTCGGAAGTTTGGTACCGGTATTTGGGATATACCGAAAATCGAATATCGTATCAAATTTATTACTATTTGATATTAATGAATACTGACTTATTTTTTAGGGATTGAGATTGGGTTTCATTTTGGAGTGCTATTCGGTATTCGGGATTACGGGATTGGAATCAGTATATACCGAAATACCGAGAAATACCGAACTTTAAAAATTAATGAAATATAACACACAACCTTTTGTCATTCCTCACTCTTTCAAAACTTACAAGCCCCCATTCAACTCAATTTTGATTTTCCAGTTTAAGTAACTCTCGTTTCTCATTTAAACTCTTGTTATTTTCATAACACAAAAAAACAAACACTAGTATTAGTCGTCTCTCAGCCTCCAATTCATCAAATTAAAGATTACCAATGACAAAATTTTGAGATGTCATCTCTTATCTATTCTCCTTATCCATATCCTAGCTCTAGGCAAACTCAAGACTCTTTGCTTAGTCTCTATGCCCTAAATTAAACAATCAAATCTAATATATATATATATATATATATATATATAATTAATTAATTAATTGCAAAGATAATTAATTTCATATTCGATAATACCGTTTGGGATACCAAAATACCGATTGGGATACCAAACTACCGATTGGGATACCGAAATATTTAGAGATTGAGATTGGTATACCGAAATTATTTAAGAATTATAATTGTAATTGACTTTAGGGTGTAGTTCGGTATTCGAATTTTGGTATTGGGATAAATACGGTACCGATTTCCACAGCTAATCAAAATTCAAAACCATAAACCTTTCTCACCAGGGAAAAGACCGTAAACCTCAGCTCTCCTCTTCTTCCTAAACCCCTAAACACAGCTTCTCGATTCCCTCTAGCCTGAGCTGCACCAAAAATGGTTTGTATTCTCAATATTTCTCCTTTTTTCCCTCTTTCTACCTTTCTTCGTCCTCTGCTCGTGTTAAGCTGAAGCTTTATGTTGTGTGGGCGAGAGATGACAGAGAGCCTGCTTTTCCTTTGTCGTCAACTCGTCATTGCCTTCGCTGTACATTCGGTGATATTGTTTGATTTAAGCCCCATTTTGGGTTGTTTAGTTCTTCCCACTTGTGCATTTGCTGCAACGTTACCCAAATCCAAGTTGCCAACTTAACTGTGCCCATACTTCATTGGTACTTTGCCGGTGTTTCCTCTTGGCGCCTGAGGGTTACCTGTTTCACTATTCTATTAATCTCTTACATTCTTTGAAGTTAACTTCTTTAACATTAGCCTCTCTATCCTTGCGCGTAGGTGCTGGAGGGCTATTTGCTGCTGCGTTTAACTGTGATTCGGGGAATGAAGGTGCTTGCCTTCCCACTGAAGAGTTGTGCGAATGAGGTTAGGGCTGATGCCGCATTTGGCTGTCAAATGATCAATTATGCTGGTTACTTCAGATGACCAAGCATAGGAATCCAGTCTTTGTATGTACCCTTTGGTGAAGCACAAGCATAAGATCCTCAACACTTCACTTGCCTACTGTTGTCGTCTTATCGACCAGTGTTTCTCGTTGAAATCCTCGAAGAATGTCACAGTTCTTCATGCTCTGTTAGTTAAAGTTGGCTTCAATCGTTATACTTTTCTGGGTAATCGTTGTCTGGATCTCTATTGTCGATCCGGTTCATCTGCGGTTGATGTTCTGAAAGTGTTTGATGACATAGCTTTAAGAAATGTGGTATCTTGGAACATTTGTTTGAAGGGGTTATTGAATTTTGGGCATATGGAAATGGCGTGCAGCCTCTTTGATGAAATGCCTGAAAGAGACGTCGTTAGTTGGAACTCGATGATTGTGGGGAATGCTTCATGTGGCCATGTTGATAGGGCATTAGAAAGGTTTAGGCGGATGCAAATTTCGGGTGTGCAACCCAGTGAATACACTTACTCAATTTTGATGTCAGTGGTGTTTGCCACACTTGGTGGTAGAGAACTTCATGGGAGCTTGATTCGTCGTGGATTTAGCACTTCAAATGTGGTTCTTGGAAATTCCTTGATTGACATGTATGGGAAGCTTGGCCTACTAGATTATTCTGTAGGTGTGTTCTTAGGAATGAAAGATAAAGATATAATATCTTGGAACTCATTGATCATATGTTTTTGTAAATGTGGACACGGTGAATTAGCTCTACATTGGTTTTGGTTGATGAGATCCTTGGGGCATTCGGTTGATGCATTCACATTTTCTGCAATCATAAATTGCTGCTCTGATTTACGAAAATTAAATAAGGGTGAGCAGAGTTTAGCACTTTGCATGAAATTGGGATTTCTTTGTAATTCCCTTGTTTCAAGTGCATCTATTGACTTGTTTTCCAAATGCAACAGATTTGGGGATTCTGTTAAGCTTTTTCAAGAATTAGAGCACTGGGATTCTGCAGCCTGCAACTCTATGATTTCATGTTATGCACAGCACCATTTTGCAGAGGCTGCTCTTCTACTATTTGTGCTTACATTGAGGGAGGACATAAGGCCTACAGAATACACATTTTCCAGCCTGTTAAGTGTTATTCACAGTTTTCCAGTGGAGCAGGGAACTCAAATCCACTGCTTAGTCATCAGATTGGGTTTTGACTCTGATGCTATTGTTGCTAGCTCGCTGGTGGATATGTACTCTAAATTTGGGTTTGTTAACTGTGCTGTGGAAATATTTAGTCGCATGACTGCCAAAGATTTGACATGTTGGAATACGCTTATTTTGGGATTAACTCACAACAACATGGTATATGAAGCCTTGGACACTTTCAAAGAACTGCTCCAGAGTGGCCCACCTCCAGATAGAATCACTTTCTGTGCAGTTCTCTTAGCTTGCACTTATGGTGGATTTGTTGATGTTGGACTAACTCTATTTTCGTCGATGATTGATGATTATGGAATTCCACCAAGCAATGAACATTTTGTTTGCTTAGTCAATTTGTTGTTTAAAGCTGGTAGGTTCGACGAGGCAGTGGAACTCATAAAAGAGATTCCTTATGAACCAGATTGTTTAGTTTGGGAGTCATTACTTGATGCCTGTGCAATTGGAGACCTGAATCTCATAGAGGGAATGGTGGAGAGGTTGATGGAAGTTATGCCTGAGCCCTCTATGGCCTATCAGCTGTTAACTAGAATATATGAAATGCAGGGAAAATGGGAATCGTTGGTCCGGCTCAAAAATACGATGAGAAATTTGGTGAAGCCGGTGGTGGGATTTAGTTGGATTGGTATGAAAAACCAGATTTATGTTTTTGATGCTAAGCAGTTAGAACAACCTGGCGGTAAAGATGTTTATTGTACTATGAGGTTACTGACTTGGGAGATGGAGGATGAAGCTGTCACGTCAAGGAGCACTATGATTGATTCCATCTGACCTTGTGAAACTGGCTTTCAGTCATGAGCATTGAAGTGCTGTATTGTTTGTTCATTTTCAGCTAGTTGCACCCCTGTCACCATGTTAGAATCCACATCCTATGCACAGGTTAGTGCACTTTTCAAACAAGTGGTAATTTCTGCTCTGTTTATGTTTTGGTGGTATATGCTGACAATCAACATTCTGAAGAATCAGAATGGAGCTTTGATGGCATGTGCTACCGATTTGTGAAATCCTTATTGTTATTCATCTTAACTATTTTCAGCATATAACTCAGGCTTGGCGAGTCTGCAAAATCAGTTAACTGTATCTCAACTTTGATAGTCATTCATAAAAAAACACATGCTTTCAAAACTAACTGCTTCTGGTATACATTGTTATGAGTGGTTGAATGTGACTAATTGGGAGTGGATAATCTTTATCATATTAGACTTGTTTTCTTCAAGATCATATTTTGTTATGATGAAGTAAGCGTTTGACCAGAAATTATATAACTGACTCTCTAAGGAATGACCACTAACTTAACTCAGTTCTGTTTGGGAAATGATGTAATCATCTGTGTCCTTGTGTCCTGGTTTTTTTTTTTCATTCTTCAAGATACCCTCGTTGGTCATTTTCCGGCCTTCTATTTCTCAATCTTTTCCGTCCATAAGATGTTTACCATATTTAATCCAATATATTTCTCAATCTTTTCCGTCCGTAAGATGTTTCCCATATTTACTCATTTATGTTCTCTGAAATTTCTACGATCTTTCAGGGTGACAAATGCATAAGCAGATAAGCTGAATAATCTTTTAGATTTTCTAATATTTATTGATATTATTCGACAAAAGAAATGGAAGGGGCTGGTTCATTCTAGGATTCATATTTCATCCCTTGAGACATAGGAATGAGAATAAAGATTAACAATAATTTTGGAACCGATAAGAGAAAACAATGCTGTTACACTATTTCCAGCTAGTTTCTTTCACTTATAGAGCTTCATTAGTGTATAACTCATATTTATGTACTTGGTAGTATAGTTTGGCTCTAATAAGTTGTTGCCTACCTGAACAGGAAATCTTTGATGGGATTTCAGGGTTCAGTAACTGATTACTTCCAAACTGTCTTACTTCAAGATAATTTAGTCTCTGAAAATTGAGGGAGATCATATCATCCAAAGTCTCAGATAATATATTACCAACCAGAAAATCATTTTATTCGAGGTCCAGACATGTTTCAGGTCAGGAAGCTTCTCACATTGGTTTATCTTTTACTCTTTTTCACACTTGGCTATAACTTTTTTAATTCATGCCTGGCCTTCATCTACCTAATGAGTAGTGTGGTCAACTTGCGTGTTGCAGCGAAGGTGCACAAAGAAGAAATTGGACAAGGTTTTCAGAGTTTAATCATGAGATGCAAATCTTGAGATTGTTCCCTCAAGAACATTGTCGGGCTTTAGCTGAAAGTAGAAGAGGCTGAACATTTGTTATGTTCAGTATACTTGCAACAAGTCATTCCATTGGCATATGCTTGGTAAGCAATAGTGTCATTTTGCTACTGTATGCCACTCTGCTTGTGGGCAGTGTCAACATATATATGCCTCTTAACTGCAACAATAAAATTGGATTCTCTTGAGAAACTATATTTTTCTTTTCTCCAGGTCAAGCAGCAAATAATTTTCAATGGAACCAAGACATGCCATTGCTGTTAGAATTGGAATAGGTCTGTGTTTCTGCATGCCAAGGCAGCCAGATAATATTTCAAGACATGTGCCCGACCATTGTATGTACTGCTTTAAATTAGGTTTCTATGTACTTCCTATTCAGTTTCCATTGATACTAGTGATCTTTGGAAACACATGGCTGAGGTTGCTGCTTCTCTGCCTGGCCTAAGTTTGTCTTTTTGGTTGCATAAAAATTAATCATTGGGCTTTAGAGAGGAAAGATTCACAAAGTCGGACCTCGATTCTGGTCTCTATTTGATCGGGCAGAGACTTGATCATGCTTTGTGTTCTTCTAGTTGGGGAAAATGCATTGGGATGCTGTGATTTCTCATGGTTTGACCAGTAACTAATTAAGATGATTTGCCTCCTACCCCAAGATGAACTTTACATGACTGCTATTCGCTAACAATCTTCATTTTAGTTTGATGGATGGTAACTCGATTGTGATGAATGTATGCAGATTGTAAACCGAGCATGAGTCTCTTGCTGGTAATTATGCTGCAAGTCTGATGTCCTCATCAAGGGAGTACATAATGAAAGTTGGCTTTTGGAGTGTATACTAACTTCGGTTTCTGGGCGGTCAATCATGAATTATGCAGACCGGCTAACAACAAAAGAATCAGAAGAGTGGTGTTCAACTTGAGATCTGGAAAATCACCATGCCCTGATGGCTTCTCGGCTCGGCTCCCAGGCCCAGTGTGGCCTTTTGTGATGAGATCAAGATATTGATCTTTGCCTCTGAAATGCTTGCTGCCAGGTTGGAATGGTACTCAAGTTTATTTCGTAGGTCTCTTAACTTTTAAGCTCGTTAGTGATTAGAACCAGTCTCTAACTGAAGAATCCATATGTTTGTTAGGGCATCTGAACGAAGGAAAACACTCGTAATGATGTAGGTGATGACAAACTTCCTTAGAAATGTCCCCAGACTATTCATCGCCTCAGTTAGCATCATATGACTATGAAATTCTCTCACACCATCCATGAACATTAGGGGTGTTCAAAGGGTGTGGTTATCATGGTAACCGTTTTAACCAGTACTATTTGAATAATTTGGTTTGGTGGAATTTGAATAATTGGTTTGGTTTGGTTAAAGTTTTTAGCTTGTTTGGTTTAGGTGGTTTGGTTTGGTTTCAGAAACTCCTAACCAGCGAAACCAAATTAACCAGATAAATAATTAGCCATATATCTAATATATACACATACTTAATACTTTGAATAACCACTCAAGAGTTAAACATTCATCCCTTTTAGACTCATAAAATATAAAGTTTGATATTGTTCCTATAATGTATATTTGTATATGTAGAGTGTAGACCACAACATATGAACACCTAGTTTAGATAAATCTCATACATTATGTTGGATGAAAACTTGAAAGCAAGGTCCTTTTCAGCCTATGAAAATTGCTAAAATACTAAGTCAATTCAAACAAACACAACAATTCATTAACCCATACCATTGTGATAAATTTTTGTTAGGTGAATACTCCTATACTAACCGTAAGATAATTGTCTTAGTTGCATGTATTTATGTTAAGGGTCAACTATAACTACGTGTTGATTGTTATGTTTTATTCATTATATAAATTGTGAATTGATAAATTAACCGAAAACTTTCTCACTTAATGATAATGTGATTTTATATTGGTTAATCTGGTTAACCAATTAACCAAACCGATTAAACTTTAGTTTGGTTAATTTGGTTATTGTATTAGTTTGGACGGTTTGGTTATAATATTCTATTCCATGGTTAATGAAATTTAGCCTTATTTGGTTTGGTAATAACCATGGTAACCATTTGAACACCCCTAATGAACATGTACGTGGTTGATGATATCCTACATTCATTAGTCATCATCACTAATAGTTGCAATAGTTGCGGAAGCAAAATCCTTAACATACCGATTAGTATAAATGAATTTCATAAGTTTTGAGAAATTCATTTTGAAATGAAACATTTTTGTGTTTGGTATTTAGAAGAATTCATTTTCAATTCTAAATTTTGAATTCTATGGAATTGGAACTAGTTATAGCAATTCCAAGGAATTAAGATGAAATTTTCAAATGAATTCCACAAGTATTTACTAATTATAATAATATGATATAATTATCTTCTTTTATCAACTAAATTGCTTATATATATGTCATACCAAACAAAGAAAATTATTTGAGAATCAACTTTACACGATAATTTATTTTATTTTTAAAGATTTGAACATGACATACCAAACACAAGATTTCATTTAACAATGAATTCTACATGGTAATTCATTTTACAATGAAATGAATTCTCGATTCATTTGGTACCAAATGGTCTTGGATCCATCATGAACTGTCTAAATTCCATTGTATACTTGATGTGTTTAGGGGTAACAAATATCATGGGTTCTACGAATTTTAAGGGTCCAAATCTGTGGGGTTCACGGACTTGAAAGTTCCACCCCTTTAGGTGGGGATTGATCATGTACTTTCAAGTCCATCATTTATGACCAATTTGTCCTTCTTATTTCCTTTTTATCCTTTTTTTATTTGTATTTCCTTTTTATTCGCATACTAATGAGGGAAATATATGTTAATTTCACTTTATTCATACTAATCTAATTAACCAAATCAATCATGAAATATATATGTAATTTTTTAAGTTTATAATGAATCCAAAGCCCCCATATATTCATGGTTTTACAAAACCCAAGTTTTAACAAAACCTTCATTTTTAAAATCCACAAAACAAACGAACCGTAAAGCTTTGGATTTTTCTCGGAATATACTAGTCATTAAAAAGAATTCACAAAATGTAGTAGTTTATATAATTTTTTTTGAAATACGCATGTTATCTACATATCGCTTCTACAAAATCGATCTAGCTATAAATCGCGTTACCTAGAGGCGATTTGGTAGGGATTGCTTCCGTAAAAGGAGATCAGATCGGATTGTTGACGTTTCTAGTGATTTATCATCAAATCTCTTTAGAGTGACGCAATTCGTTGTTCCAGTGACGCATATCATTGACGTGGAAGGTGATTTTTGAGAGGGGAGACGGGGATTGCTGAGGTGGCAAGAAATAAACTGTTGATAGCTTCCGACGGCCACGATCAATGCGCTATCTCTTCTTTGCTCCACCTATATGGCGTTTAACCGAAGCGATCTTGGCTCCCCCCTTCAGCAATAAATACGAACTCCCTCCCCTTCATTTCATTCACACCACCACCATTACATTATTCCTCCCTCTCCCATACCACTCAAGGAATACAGGTATGCTCTGAGGTTGCGGCTAAGTCTGATCTTTCACAACATATCCTGTTTAATTGAGTTCCAAAAAAGCCTTGTCCCGCTAAAAACCCGGTCGAACCTCTGTGATATATTATTATTTTTTATTTATAATTGTGAATCATGACGGAATGCTATAAGAACAATGTCTTAGTAGAATAATCATGATTAAACGTTGTTTTGTATTTTCACGATTTGTTTACAAAGCTAATAATGTTATTTTCTTGTATTTCATGATAGATGGGGGCAGATATTTACGATCCTAGATTGTATATCCAATATGGCCTGAGGGATGCCCAATATTTAACCGAACAAGAAAATCATAGATCCCATGCGATTTGGAACAACAACTCGGTAGATACGCCCTACCTTCAAAATCCTTTTTTAATTATTTTAAAACGTTGCTATAAAATTTACTTTGGGCATTGATAAATTGGAACATTAACCTTGAGAAATTATCATTGTAAGTGTGATGTGTTTTTGTGCTATTCATTATTTTTCTTATTAATATTATTTCGTCTTCGTTTTCATATGGACTTTAAAATCTTTGATTTGACGATTTCGATTTTACCCACATTTTCAATTTGATGTAAAATCCTAATTTTGACTACTATGCTCATGACCATGTCAGAGAGGTGGCGTCTCGAGTCACACACCTTCCACTTTCCCGAGGGGGAAATGAAAATTACACTGCGGGATGTTGCCATCCTCACTGAGTTGTCAATCAGTGGAGAGGTCGTCATTGACAACTCGACTGTTCCCGAAGGAGGTTGGGGGCCACTGATCTTTGAGCATTTGGGCTTCAACATGCCCATGACAGTAGAGGGAGGCGGTAAACTGGCGTTGAACGTAGGTCAAGTATCAATCCCATGGCTCGTTGCTCGTATAATGGCGGATGTTGCATAAAGGAAGTGTTGAAGGGTTCTAGGCAGATTAAAGAATGATTTATGTAGTTCTCTATTTGATGGTTTGTGATTTGTGTCTCTATTTGGTAGGGATGTTGTCATTTGAGTACAATCTTTTTATGGAATGAAACAACCAAATACATAAAGACAATCGCAGTTACCAAACAATAAATATTTTATATTTCTTTCAACATTCCGAAAAATTAAAATCCTTAAATTATTTAGAATTATAGGTTGAAACTCCCATTATAAATTTAAAGTCTATCATCAACCATCCAAACTAAATTATATTAACAAAATTTCTATATGGCTAGTCTTGCTTTATCCAAAATTAAACATCATCAACATTTAGTGGATGTATGATAAAAAGAAAATGGGGATTGGAGAATGGCAAAAGGTGAGATACAAAAGAGGTGTAATGGGTATAGAAGGAAAAGATTTTCAAAAGAGGTGTAAAGAGAATAAACAACACGAAAAAGGAAAGAAAGAGTCCAAACGTGAGGGGATGGATATTGGGCGCGACCTCGATTTTCAACAAACAGAACTTTCTTGGATGCACTTTGGGCTCACAAAGTGTTTAGTAAAAAGTAAGTCTAGTTTCTACTCATAAGGTAAGTTGTGAGTAGATACTTACAGAGACGACAGAGAAAATGGTAAAGAAAAAGGAGAAGTGATGGGTCATTAAATTTCCAACCACCTTTACATCTATAATTCTCTTTCTCTCTCTCTTTTTTTTTGTAATATATAGTGGTCAGTGATAAATTATTTTTTTTATATACTGATATTAGTATTTGATGATAGGATATAATGATGTTTATGTGATGGATATCAGTTTGCGAAGTAATGGATATTGTGTCTTCCATCAAAACTAAACACACTATCAAATCCTAATGCATAAGGCTTGCAACCTTAGTTAGGGTTGCCCGCCGAGGGCCTATGAGCCTTCGATCCATGAAACAATAATATTTGTTTGCAATGAATGAAGATTAGTTTAAGTGGTTCGGATATGTGTAGTTGGTATTAGTCTGCGATGGTCAGATATTAATCTGTTCGTTGTGCGTATTTGTCTGCGATGGTCTGATATTAATCTGTTCGTCGTGGGTATTTGTCTGCGATTGTCAGATATTAGTCTGTGTGAGGTGGGTATTAGTCTCTATGGTGAGGATATTAATTATGGGCTGACTAGATATGGGTCTTAGAGGATATTTGTTATGGTGAACGTATATTATTTAGGGTGGTTTGGATATTTGTTTTGTGTGGATGTGTTATTCTGACGAAGTGATGGAAAGAGAGGAGGAGACTCGCATAGTCACATGATTTTTGTTTAATTTGTGGGCCCCCTTTTCTCTGTAGCTGGATAGTGAGAATGAGCAAGCCTTTTTATAATTTATGGGCCCTCTTTTCTCTGTAAGTATATACTTACAACTTATCTTATGAGTAGTTTAACTAGATTGATTGGGTGCGGCCTCGATTTTCAACAAATAGAACTTTATGGGATGCACTTTGGGCTCACAAAGTGTTTTGTAAAAAGTAAGTCTAATCTCTACTCTCTAGTGATGTTAAAAGACTAATTAAGCTCTGTAGTATATTATTTATCACTAACCTTTCTCTCGTTAACTTAATAAGAAGTGAAAACGAATTATTATGCCAAATATAAAACATGACGCGCCTCTCAGGGCTAGCTTTCTATATTTGCAATTGCAAGGGAGATGTAGGGAAAAATGCTGCAATTAATTATGTATTTGGACTGGTTTTGTTGAAATTATGTGTTGTTTTTTTAATCCCAATTTCCTATATTTGGCTCTTGGTACACTGGAAATAATCAAATTCATACATGCTTGATGTTCACACTATTTGATAATTTCCAACTAACCAAATAATTTGGTTTTTGATACATTGGACGTAATTCAAAGTAGAGTAATAAACTGTTAAAAAAAGAGACATTTTATTACAGGATGGAATGCCCAATGCGAAAGGGACACCTGGAGCCCTTCTCACTCCCCCGTACGTTTCTACACCTTTCTTGTGTTTTGGTCCTCGATCATAAACTTCCAAGTCACAACTTACAACACAAACTCTGACACACAATTACAGTACAGCCCCTTTTGGCTTTCTCTTCTCTTCTCTTCTCTCTATAACCTTCTCCTTTCTTCTTCCCTCGCTTTCTTTCACCAGGGGCTCATCACCTCTTCAGAGTTCAGCCTCCGCACCGCACGCAATCAACAACACAGGTTCCTCCTTTTTTTCATCTCCCTTCCAACCTTCCTTTTCCTCTTCCTCTCACTGATCTAATCACCATGCACCGCTTCCAATGCTTCACCATTTCGACTTCTTTCTTCCTGCCTTGATCATTCTCACAAAAAAAGTTTCTGCTTTCGATGATGGGTGGTTTCATTCTTCATTTACCCTCTTTTGCTGAAATGGGTTGTGCTCTATTTGGTCGACTTCCTTCACGATTGGGAAATATGCCCATCTCTGTTTTCCCTTACTTACATGTATATTTTTTTGTCCTCTGCCGTTAAAGTCTCTTTTGTTTGTGCTTATGTGATCAACAAGAGAAATCTCATCTTTGATTGTGGCTCGGATTGTCTAGTGTGTTGTCTATTCTTAGTGAGTTTCTTCTGAAATTATCTCTGTCTATCTCTGCTATTGACAGAAACGAGGATTGCTTCTGTTCTACTGTTTGGGGGCTGTTTTAAGCTATGGTGAGAAGTGAAGAATTGAACCAGTGTTTCGAGAAGCTGATGATGACGGGCGGTGGAACCGACATCAGTAAGAAGATGGGAGGAGCGGCCATCGCTGAGTGGAAGGATATTCCAATGGAGCTTCTCTTGAGGATTGTTTCTCTTGTTGATGATCATCGCACGATCATAATGGCCTCCCAAGTTTGTAGTGGCTGGAGGGAAGCTATTTCCTTGGGCCTTACTCATTTATGCCTCTCTTGGTAAATGAATTCCTCTCCTGCCTTTTGATTGCTTGATTGAAAAAATTTTCCCTACAATTCGTATTGGTAAGTCGACTTTAGTTGACATTATGTTCTCTTTCAATTGCAGGTGCAAGAACAATATGAGCAACCTGGTTATGTCTCTTGCGCCCAAGTTGAGGAATCTGCAGAGTTTAGTGCTACGCCAAGATAAGCCGCAACTGGAAGACATTGCGGTAGAGACAATCGGTAGACACTGCCATGACTTGCAAGACTTGGACCTTAGCAAGAGCTTTAAGCTAACTGATCGCTCTCTGTATGCCCTGGCTCATGGTTGCCCCAACCTGGTCAAACTCAATATCAGTGGTTGTACATCGTTCAGCGATCATGGTATTGAGTATCTCACTGGATTCTGCCGTAAGCTGAAGATTCTGAATCTTTGTGGCTGTGTTGGAGCAGCAACTGATCTTGCCTTGCAGGTTTCTTCAGCAGATTTTGTTTCTGTACTCATTTTTATCATAAACTTCTTCTTTGAGAATACTAATGGAACCCCTTGCAGGCTATTGGACGCAATTGTAATCAACTGCAATCGTTGAATCTCGGGTGGTGCGAGAACGTGGGGGACGTTGGGGTGATGAGTTTAGCATATGGATGTCCTGATCTTCGAACCCTGGACTTGTGCGGCTGTGTGTGTATAACAGGTATAATACATCAGATACCAGTAATGCTTCCTCGCTTTCTTATCATTCATTTTGGACTTCAATTACCGCAATAGAAGAAGCTTAATGTGACTTTCATTTCCTGTTGCATCTGTTGAGTTCTTCTACTGACTAGACCTCCTTACTTTATTATAGACGACAGTGTGATTGCACTGGCGAACAGGTGTCCGCACCTCACATCCCTTGGCCTGTACTACTGCCAAAACATCACCGATCGAGCAATGTACTCTCTGGTTCATAGCCAGGGGAAGAAGAAGAAGCCGTCCACATCTATGTGGGAGAGCATAAAAGCCAGGAAAGGGGAAGAAGGGTTGAAGAGCCTGAACATCAGTCAATGCACGGCGCTGACACCTTCTGCTGTTCAAGCACTGTGTGACTGCTTCCCTGCGCTTCATACTTGCTCCGGAAGGCATTCTCTCGTCATGAGTGGTTGTTTGAACTTGACTTCAGTGCATTGTGCTTGCGCTGTGCAGGCACACCGCAATCTGCCCTATATCCCTCATCATCATGCTCATTGAAGCTCAAAAAAGTTCAGGGAAGTGTGCCTTTGCAGCACATGGAGAGCCAAGCCTAGGTTTAAGTTTATGCATTACTTGTGGTACAAGCCAAGTCTGTGTAGCTGCAGATGGACAAAGGTTTGTTGTTGTATAACACTGTGATGTTAAGAATGTGACGGGCTTTTGCTATCGACTATTCGACTCTGGTTTTTGAAGAACCATGTATTTCTGAATGCCGATGCTTTACAGGAGTCATAAGTTCATGCTCTGTACTACATTCGCGAAACTCCGGAAGAAACGTACACTCGCATCGACAGATGACAATTTGAAATGAGTGCTTGATTCGGTATATTCGTAAATGGACGTTATTTATCTCAATTGTATCTGTCGTGTGATGCATTTTTAAAAGTGTGATGTTGGACTCACTTTCTTGGGAGTGAATTTACAAAATTAACCAATGCGTGTGAAATTATATCTCTAACTTCCAATAAATACGCTTAAAATGCATCTTATAAAATGATCTACTTATTTGATGGCATACTACTGCAAAGATGTCGGTCGTGAAGCACACTCAACCAGAGCACTTGGAGTAGTGTATCTTTCAGCACCTGATCAGCCAGCTGGGTTGCTAATGGATAAAATGAACAACGACTTGCAGTTTTGTATTTCTAGACTCTGGTTTCAATTACAGAAGTTGATGAAAGTGGTCCAAGAAAACAAAAAGAGAGCAACTTTATGTAGTTTAATAACAGAACTTTGTGGGGTAACTGGGAGAATAAGAATTTGAAGAGTTTCATCATCATGTACACAGCTCACTGTAAATGTGTAATGTCAGCATCTGCTTCTGTAGACAATCTCGTCATCATCATGCACGTCAAAAGCTGGATTACACAGGCATCTGAACATCCTGCCAATTCCCTGTACATTACAAAAATGTAGCATAATTGAGCAATAGTAATGTTTTCAGCATTGCCAGGCCTATCTGAAGCCTAATTTGCCACTGATTTATGAAGGAAGAGACATGCCTGAGTGAGAAGAGGAGTTTTGTATGATAGTGATCTGGGGCCCTCGTCTTCGTCACCGCTGCTATCAGAACTGCTTTCTTCATCATCTCCAGTTTCATTACTGCTTTTCCCCCTCGAGACTCCATCAACTCTCGCTTGTTTTCCATCCTGTGAGATATAATATACATCTTTGTTGTCTTATAACCGAGTCCAGGGGACAAACAACTGAGGGAAAAGGTAGGATCTTTATGTTTGTGTCACACCTGAAAAACCTTGCCAAGGGTTCTTAGAGCCGAGGCTCGAGTTTTGAGTTCTTCTCTCCTCACATTGTTCTCCTTCAAAACCATCTGGCAGACATGGATGAGGGTGACCTCAATGTCTACTACGTTCAGTTTCCACATGGAGCTCATCAGAATTTCTCTGGCCAATCTCGGATGTGATACCACACCATTTTCTACTGCAGTCCCATTGGATTTGTTCTGTTTGCGGAGGTAGTCTTGAAGTTGGATTAGCTGAAATGCACCTGCAGGGGTTAACTGTTAGATTTTATCAAACTGGACTACGAAAAAAGGAAATCCCTTCAAGCGAAGCTCCATTACGAGGAAGTTTCAACCTTTTGCTGCTGTGACCTGTGACTTCCAGAAATGGCCTTTGTTCCTTGCCCATTCTGCCATGAATGGGACTCCAAGGTAGAGGGCTTTCTTCCCGAGCTCTTGTGCTGCTTGCCTTGAGTATATGTACCCAATTGTATGCAAGATATTGGCACCAAAATCTGCAAATTGTTTCCAGCATATCGTCAGTTCCTTTACTGATCGCTTGAGACACAAGTACATGTAATTTATTGAAGGGAAGAGAACCTGAATCAGAAAGGCGCTTAGCTTCAGATTCAGCACGTCTAATGAACCCAGCTTTGTCTCCTCTAACATATTGATCTAGAAAGTCCCTGAGAAATCTAGCCAGCTTTTCCTCTCTTTCCTTCTGGACACCCTTTATTGAGTTCATTCAAGGAGGGGAAACAGTTTATGATCACATACTAACCACCAATTATTCAGCTGCTGAAACTAGAATGGGAGAGCAATCATTGAAATGGTAATACCTTCAAATTTTCATGGAGTTTATCAGGGTTCTCAGTTTCAGCAGCCAATTCAGAAGAAACCATTGATGCCACAGACAGGTGACCAATGTAGTCCTCAAACAGTTCACTTCCAAACAGTAGAGCAAACACTGCTGTGGGATCCAGCATGAGTTCCCTGTCCACGAAAAAAGAATAGCATACTACTAATTAAGATCAATTCAAGATGGTTCTTTGATGTTAGGAGAATCCCAATGAGAATCAAAATAAGACTAAGAGATCAGTAAATACTTTGGTATAGAGTGCTTCCCATTTCTATCATATGCATCCCTCTGAGTAGGATCACTCAGAACTTGATATGCTTCACCCAGTATCTGCCACAAGATCAGATGACCAAATGCTCTCTATAAGGAAACAAAACTATTAATGAACTGAGAAGAAGTCGAAATGGAGTTAGGGACTTGCCTGAAATCTCTGTGCAGCAAGGGGATCGTTGGGATTCTTATCCGGATGGACCTGCCTGGCCTGGAAGTGAGACAATATCAAACAGTTGCCATGCATTCCCTAACCCATCCCAGACAAACACTAAAGAACCTGAAAGCTTCAAACTTTTTCACAAGGGGATCATCAAGCAAGCTTCAAACATTCATGTCATGTCATGTCACACCTTGAGATAGTAAGCCTTTCGAATGTCATCGTACGAGGTGGAAGGGTCCAAACCAAGAACATCATAGTACTCAGTTTCCTTCACCATTGCTGCTTGTGGGATATTCTTTCCTTCTATTCCACCCTGATTGAATGTAACTCTTCTGGCTCAGCAGCTTTTCCCAGTGAACCTAACTAAAGTTGTGTCAAGGAGTACTGTGTTGTGAATGGTGAAGTGAAATGGAAAGTAGTGATCGAGAGAGAAAGTAAGTTCAAGTGGGGGAAATTATGTGCTTTTGGGGGGGGAGGTTCCACACACCATTAGTACACCCACACAAAGCCTGCTGATCATGGATGAATCTCTTTCCTTTTTTGTTATGACTTTCCAGTTCTTAACTGAATTAAAGAAATTAAAGATTAATAACTGACTTTAGAATTGAGAAGACAGTTCTTCTTTAATGTTTTAACTGTTCAATGTAGTAGTGGTAGTGATTATTAAATGCTGCTGCCCATTGCCAGCCTACATTAATCTTGTGATTCCTTCAATTTTTTCATTTACCTTTAATAGAATGGATACAGCTGGGGTTCTTAATTACCAGATCTGGGTTCACTAGCTGTTACTGCTAGTAGTACATTGTGGGCTTGGAATTTGGGGAGAAGAGGAGAGCAAATCTTTGGGCAATAGCACCAGCCATAGGCGGAGCCAAGCGTGTTTGCCTTTGTCCCATGACAGGGATAATTTTTGGAGAAGGAAGAAAATAACCTCACATATATTTGTGCGGATTGAATTCAATTACTTGTAAGTAACATAAGTATGTTTTCACACTACACCATAACTCATTGCTTGTTCGTTAATAAAAATAATTAAAATATTGGTTTTATGCATGACATTATTAGTCGACAGCAGTTTGTTTGGTATTATCACGATGTTCTGGCTAATGAGAGATTTGTTGGGTTGAAAAGAATTGATGAATTATCTCAAGTCATGGTGGAGACAAAAGTCCATCAGTCATATTCGTTAGTTTATTTGCTTCTGAAACTAGTTTTGATTCTACCAGATGCAACTGTAATTTTAGATAGAGCATTTTTAGATTGAGCTATATTAAGAACAAGTTTTGAAATCGAATCGAAAATGAGTTTTTTAATGATTGTTTAACTAGATATATTGTTAGCGACTCACTTAAGAGTGTAAACAATGAATATATTTGCATTTCTTTCATAATATGAAAACTTGTTGTGGTTATTTATGCAAACAATAATTGTATTAGCCAGTTTTTTGTTTCTATATGAATGAATTATTTGGATATTATTAGTTTAATTATATTTATTAAATATTATATATTTATTCTGAATAGAGGACAGGGATAGTTTCAAATTCTGCCTCCGCCACCGGCGGCCTTAAATTAGTTAACTAGTAGTGCTTTGATGGGATGTCAAAACTGTCTTCCGATTCATGCATCGACGTTGATGTTTATGCATTCTCGAGTCAAATGTAAGGCTTTCTACTAAAATCAGAAAAAAGATTGATAATTTTGTGGAATAATAGTTAAATAAAGGTTAACATGGTTGAACTTTATGCTAATTAAGTAATTTGGTACGGATTTTCTGAAATTTTCATCCTGGTCTAAAATATTGTCTTGACCGTCTAGTTGGACGATCAATATCGTTAACTAACGGTCAGCGTCCTCGTGTTGCTTCGACAGAACTTTGACTATTTTAGTGTAAAAAGTAAGTAAAAACTATGGACTAAGCCCCTATTTATAGCATATAAGGGAAATGGGTTTCTAGAGTTTTTCCTCGTAAAACACGGTCAAAAGGTTTCTTGTACCTGTGGAACTTGAAATTTTTTCTTGGGGACGAAGAAAGGGTATTCTAGAAGATCTCATTGAGCTTGGGCTTAGCGGCGGCCTCCTATTGGTTACCACCATCAATGGTTTTCATCCTCCAGTGGGCTTCTTGGGCCAAAATTATCATCTCTGTGGATTTTGGTAGCAACTTGATGGATTAGGTCTAGCGGCGCCCAACAACGATTGGACCAATCATGGATTCTTTTATTTGTTTGAGTTGAAACTTCTATAGTGGGCTCCTTTTTAATGGACGATTTACTCCATGAACTTTTGATAATTTCTCTATTTATCCTCTTATTTGATCCAATGACTGATCCAATTTCTTCTTGATTGTGTTTGACCTTGAAAAGCATAAAATCATACCAAAAAGCGTAAAATGATACTAAACACAACCTAGGTCTATTATAAGTACATTGATCAAATATTTATGAAATTCATACAAAATATAATAAAATGTACTAAAGATGCATCGATATCACCTCACTTCACCTCCTTCAATCTCTCCAGATTCAATTACTCCTGCCACCAGGTATGCAGGATATGGGTCGCATGGTTCGAGGTCTACAATTTGAGCAATATTATTATAGAGAGAGGGAGCCGAAAAGGGAATCCAAATCCCATTTATGTATTGAATTATTTATTATATTATTTTTTTAACAATATATCATAGGCAAATTATTTGAGTTAGGATTTTTAATATTTTTATTTTGACATGACATGTTGACCGTTAGTCAAGGATTGGTTAATAACTCAAAAATTATACATGTTTTCACTTCCTTTAAGACGGCTATTGTCTTGTCATTTTAGTGATATTTATATGTTTGTTTCCAATTTTACGTTTGGTTTGTTGTTTAAATGTGTTCATATAAGTAAGATTGAATTTAATGATATTTGAACAAGAATTACACATAGTAGGTAAATATTTTAGTGTTGGATGACTTAGAGAGCACTTAGGAAGTGTTTCGAGATAAATTAGCAAGGTGTCTCAATGCTTTCCCACCACCATGGAGCTAATTGTTGGTTAATTCATTCAAAACCTCACATGTCAACTCAAAGAACTAATTTTGTAAGTCGTCATAGGCAAGCCCATGACCGTGAGATAAACCCTGAATGGCCCACGGGCGTGGCGCTTCCTTGGATCTTTTCGGCAATTGTTCAGAAATTACACGAGCTTCCCCCTTCACCTCAGATCAGGACGCAACTCACGGGATGGTCGATTTTAGCCTTTTTCTTAGGCGACTTCAGCCAGACTTAATCTAAATCCTCAAATTCAAGTAAGAGGGCAGAGAAAGAAGGTTTTCCAGCAACTCGACCCCAAAGAAGTCGATTGGGAGTGATCAATAAAGGATTGCACCATGGAGATCGTCTCTTCTTCTCCTTCTTTGTTTGTTCCCTCATCCTTCGTGAACTAATCTCCTTTGATGTTTAGATTAGATGAACCCCAACTATGATGTACTATATTGATTGGATAAATATGGATTTCGATGTTTATTCCTTTGATTTGTTTTTTACCTTTCATACGAGTATTCAGCAGTTGTAAAAATGTTATATGCTTGCTCGTTTTCTGTGTATGACGAGGTCAAGATTACCGTATGAATGATGGACGCCTAAAAAATGGAAGGGAGTGATCGGAATTCCAGCAGATGGAGGACGAAGGACCTCCGGATTAGGGTGAAACCTAAAATGGGAATTCATAGAATGTTTCATGGATTGGTTGATTGAATTTAGGATAATTGGAAGATTTGGTCTAGGTTTAATTAACCAATAGACAATTAATATGCAAGAAGATCAGGTTAATACCACTTTGGGAATTCCTACAGTAAGGGAATAACAACATCGAATCTATGTATGATATGATTGATGATTTATGTTCAGCTAGGGAAACTCGAGAACACCTTCTCTACATGGTTTTACCTTAAAATTCTGTGTATAGTCTCTGACTCTCTGTTGTCTTTTATGTTTTTTAGTTACTTTTCATAATCAAATCAATTATTGATGGATCAGTTAAATAATAGGAAACATAGACAGTACTAGTAGTCCATAGTCTTTGTGAGATACAACATTGTTTCCCATTGTATTGCTTTTACGACAGGTACACTTGCTTTAGTAGTGGCATAAAAAAGGCCATCAAGTTTTTGACAGAGACTATGATATACGAAACGACTTAATTCTCAACCACTTGCTTTAGTTACAACTTGGAAGGAGCTAGGGGAATAAGTTTCTACCTCACTTCTTCTTCATTCCATCTAGGATTGCTCCATTGCATGGAGAAATCATAGCCTTTAAGCAGCAAGATGGAGAGAACATTTTTGAAACACAGGATCATTTCAATAATTCACTAAGAAAATATACTGGAGTTGATACTTGGCTCCAATTCAATATGTTTTATAACGACCTATTCTACGAGTCTAGATAAGCTCTTGATTATGTTGGAGGAAGCCAAATTCTTGATATAACCCTCCAGAGCTTCAGCAATACATCAATAACATGGCTAACAATAATTATGGGTTGTAGACATTATCAAAACCCCAAATGTCAGTTGGTCTACACCAGGTTAACTGCATTATTTATAAAACAGGCATATAAGCGTTTTGGTGACTTGGAAGTTTAAAATTGTCAGTTTTTAAGTTTTAAAGCGCGATTTTGACTACATTGGTTGCACCTGCATAAATAAAGGCTCTAACTCGAAGCACTGCTGGTTTAAACCAAAATTTTAACCTTCAAACAAAAGGACAATTGACTTTTATTTCCTATTGGGAATTGTGCAATGGAGTTTACCATGATAGGAGAGACGACTACCTTGTAGCAGGAGCAACACCTTAATAGCTATACTACATGGAAATTCTCAATGCGGCAATAATCTGTATAGCAACACCAATAACCTCAGTTAGAGGAATCATCCCAATTTCTCTTAGAATGGCTGAACAATCCAAGGCCACCGCCTGGATTTAATTTCCAGAATTGTTATCATAACTAAAATCAACCTCTTCCTCCTCGACCAGAGAAGAAGTAGGATGCTAGGATCTGAAAGATATTCTAAACAATTCGATACCAGTTTTGCTAAGAAATTCGATAAATTTATAGCAAGTACTAAAAATCGCTTTCATTGTCTACTAATAATGATAGATGTTGGAGATATGACATGGTAAATTTGAAACTTGGACCGATTTCACTCAATTAATTAATTGGGCTAAGTGGTTGCAGATAATGCCACTCTTTCAATGCAATGCAACCCATCTCTTTGAATTTTAAATTGAATGGTTAATCTTGTTTCGTTGCATGACCATGCATTGTTTATTTCTTCTAAATGAAAAGTTGTATTGCATGGTTGAAACTTCCTGATGATCACCACACGGACATTCAATGTGTGATTGAAAGGACATGTCACTTGATAAAAGAACAATGCACCTCCTTTATCCAAATAATGGCACGTGAAAAGAAATGAAACAATACAATGTTTCAAAAGCCAATTGTCTGTTGCAAACTGAGATGATGCTTCACAATACTCTCTATAAATAGATAGGTGGGGTTGGTGATAAAGACACAT